ATATATATTTAGGCAAGTCTCCTGTCTTCACTTCCCCAAATACCTAATATACATTATTTTTTCCTCCTTCATATCTTTGCATCTTAATTTCAGTATTTGTCAAATATGCCTTCAAAACAGCAATTTTTAAGTTATAAAAATTATTTAACAAATGCAGAAATAAATGGCAGTATTTTAAGATTGATTGAAATCAAAGCATTTCATATCTTTGGAATCAAGTTAAGTGATCCAAGTTAACTAAGTGAATCTGGCATTCTTATTGGATGGGAATGAGTGATAGGAAATACCTGTCATTTGACTTTTAAGTGTATATGCAAAAATTACTCATGCTTAGATTTGTAGTAGATTCCAATAAAACATCATTGCCCTGGAACATGTCAATTACTACATAAAGTCACATGCAATATCAATTCCAAAGACCCAGAGGAAAGAGTTCCCAAGAGAACAATGAAAACTTAACAATGTAAAATTTTATGTGGAGTATATCAGCATTAAAATAGGACTGCTGAAATAATACACAGAGGATTTACAATAACACCTGGTGGTTCCTTCCAATGTACATATAAATAGAATAATGGAAGCTTTTTATATTACCTAATCATTTTATGGCCTTCTAAATTTAATGAATCAAAGTAAAAACCCAATTTCCATTCCGTAGCTAATCCCTTTTCTCTAGATCAAGGTGAAATTATCATTATCAAGGAAGAGTTTCAAGTGTCCATATTTCTTAAGCTACATTTAATCACATCATTAATTTTCAATGTCTCTCTCTTCAGTCTTGAATGTGAAACTCTAGCAGATTTAATATTGGCATTCATTATCTAGTCAAATCCTTCAGATGCTCTGTAAGTCAGTCCAACTGGGGACTCTCACATTTTCTGTGTTAGTAAAATAAAGAGTGGTATTAGTAGATCTGATAAAGACTGTGTTTTCCTTGTCACATTGGACTTCTAGTTACCATATGGATTGGGCTTTAGAATATGTGTTAGTTAACAATAGATGTTTTTTGGCCTGGATCTGTTTAACAGTAGAGATGTAGAAGGGCAAGCAAGACCACAAGGAGAATGGCCACTGACTGCAGGGCACAAGTGGACACTGTGGGTTCAAACAGAGGACCCGGTGTGCTGGCTAAAGGAACGTGTGACTAAATCTGTGTGGATAGGAGCAGTGCCAGAAGTAGCAGCCTCAGACTGAGCCTGGCCACCAGCCCCTTGCCCATGTTGGCCACTGTGTCTTGGGTCAGACTTGCTGTTTGGTGTGCTGTTGGATCATAGGCTCCTGGCTGGTGCAGGCAAAGTAACTAGCAGGGTCTCAAACCAGGGGGCATCATAATGACAGTGACATGGCACCATCTGCCCACCCATGCTCACCATTCCCCATACCTCCAGTCACATAATTTATCTTTGAAACACAATTCTTCAAAATTGTTTAGAGAGCCTGGATCCTATTACTTATAAATCTATTTTTTAAAAAGCAGGTTTTCTATGCCTTTATTTTTTCCAAGTGGCATTATTTTTTTCCTGATTCTTAGATGTTTGTTGTTGAAAGTTGGTAGCACAAATGAATATGAAGAGAGGTTTTTACCCAGAGATAATCACTATTGATATTTGGTCTGTTTATATACATGTTTTTACACCATAAAAGCTGTTCTTCTATATGCAGAATTTTTGCTTAGTATTTATCATGAGCATATTTCTGACATTAAGAGCTTAAAAAGCATGATTTAATTATCTTTTTTTTTTTTTAAGATTTTATTTAGGGGCGCCTGGGTGGCTCAGTTGTTAAGCATCTGCCTTCAGCTCAGGTCATGATCCCAGGGTCCTGGGATCGAGCCCCGCATCGGGATTCCTGCTTCTCCCTCTCCTACTATCCCTGCTTGTGCGCTCTCTCTCTATCAAATAAATAAATAAAATCTTTAAAAAAAATAAGGAGTTTTCAAATTAGATCCCATAAGCCTAAATAGTTACAGAGTTAGGTAGTGAAAAAAGGAAGTTAAAGGTATTCTGACTTGGTATGAGATTATCATAGACTTACCTACTATTAGATTACCAAGAAGACGTCATTGTATTTTCCTGGAAGTTAAATCAAATTAACAAATGAACACTATCATGAGCCAAGCTTCTTTTTTGCAAGGACCTGCTGTAATTTATGTATCATAGCTCTATTCAAGGTTTTAGGTAGACAATCTTTCTTGATTCTGATCCCCCCCCCCATGCAACTGAAGGGAGTTTACCCTGCCTTTGTGAGAAAAATAAAGCTGTAGGAGTAGCCATGTTTCAGATTATAGAGAGTTCATAGCAGAAGTCCTTCTGATAAACTGATAGTTTATTAACTACTATCAAAAGTAAATCTATTGATTTACTATCAGTAAAAAGGTAATTACAGCTTTCTTAAACAAAGATAAATCTAAGAAGGGGGTCTAAAGGAATAATATAAACCTTTATTACCTAGTTTTATGTCACAAATTTTATTATACCGTGGATCAAAGTTCTTTATGAAAATATACATGTAATCTTTCTCCACATAATTGAAAGCCTGTAATATATATTTTATTGTTAGGATGATCAATAATGGTCAATAGTATAGCCATATTTGGCTATATTGCCAAATATTTTGTTTCCTTCGTGGAAGTCACAAATAATTCAAGAGGGTTGTAATATATTCTAGAGGTAATATTGACTATTAGCCTATTATATGAGAATGAGAAAGAACAAGGAAGAATGGTACCAGACAGTGACAGGGAGCTAGAAGAAACTTACAGGATCATGAAAGCAAGTCTATTAAAAGGCTCTATCTAAAAATGTATCCCATTTATTGTTGACTTTTATTGAAAGCAGAAATCGTAATAGTGACATAGCAACAAAATCTAAAATTTAGTTACTGCTCTAGAGTTTGACATTCCTTTTAGATATCTCATAACAGGGATGCCTGGCTGGCTCAGTCAGAAGAGCATGTGACTCTTGATCTTGGGATTGTGAGTTTAAGCCCCACATTGGGTGGAAGGATTGCTAAAAATAAATAAATAAACTTAAATATCTTGTAACATGGATGGTAGGCACTCAATAAACATTTATTAAATTATTTTATGAACAGCATTGAATTGTTAAAATTTTATATGCATAAGCATCATTTTATATATCCAAATATTTTGTTTGTTTGTTTAAGATTTTATTTATTTGACAGAGATATACACAGCGAGAGAGGGAACACAAGCAGGGGGAGTGGGAGAGGGAGAAGCAGGCTTCCCGCAGAGCAGGGAGCCTGATGTGGGGCTCGATCCTAGGACCCTGGGACCATGACCTGAGCCGAACGCAGACGCTTAACGACTGAGCCACCCAGGTGCCCCTAATGTATAAATTTTAGTTTTTGATCCAGTTTTCAGGGGAAAAAAGGGAGTCTGTACTTCCCTATGTTTAGAAGAGGTTAAATTGCCAATCTATATTTTACAAAAGCTTTGACAAGGAAACAGATTACATGGAATCTCTGCCTAATTAAAGTGAGGCATCATCATGTTGTATATTTGGAAAGACTGTAGGTTCTTTAGGTCAAACTTTTTAGAAACAATTACATATCAGACTTAGACCTCACTGGACACAGCACCATAAAGTTTCTCTTTCCATCAGTGAGAAATAGCAAATCAGGTTTCAGATCCATCAAAACTTGACTTTAATAGAGTTGGTTTGAGCTACTCCTTAATACGAAGCCTAATTATTAAGGAAGTACTTAGGATAAAAACTCGGCTCTCAATTCAGTAACTATTCTGTTTAATATCCATCTCTAAAAGACAAAGCAAAAAATATAATCTGCAATCATCAGAACTTAGTTTAGAAATTGATAAAATCAGATCAATGCACTGATTTGTATTTGTAAGGAAAAAATAGAAATATCTAGTAGGATATAATCTCAGGAAGCACACAAATGGACAGTCTGTTGTGAAAATAAGTATTTATTAAAAACAAAGTTCAGAAAAAACATATTTGTTAAAACATGGTTAATTTTGACAACAGGAGGTCAGGAAGCAAAAAGTGTGATGAGAAAGTAAGAATATCAGTTACTAAGTTATATTATACCCACCCCTTCAATTATACCCCTGGTTATCTTAAAATATATAATGGTAGCTCTAAAGACTCTAGACAGATCTCTGGATTTATGGCATGTTTTATTGATTTCCAACTTTAAAATTACTGGCCCAAAGGGTAATATTTTATGATACTAAATCAAATGCATATTCTTGGAAAATTTCTCTCTTTTAATGTAGTCTATGAAATATTCTTGTCTAATTCTGTGCTAGAATTTTATCTGTTTTATTGTTGTTAGAAGCTTTATCAACTGTTTAAATCTTCAGGCCAAATTGCCCTGAAGGAGAAGATACATAGCCGTCCAAATTTTTTCAACATTGCATCTTTGGCCCTCTTTCTTGAAAAGGGTATAGGTTCAGTTTAATTAATACTGAATTTTTTTAATGTGCAAAAATCTAACTCTGCTTCTTAAAGCAAATGAAAGGAACAAAAATATGGCACCATTCCAATAATCAAATGCCAATAAAAATGGCAACAGTACAAAGATCTAAGCAAATCTTAAACACAGCAGATTTGTAATTAGAACACCATGCAATGATTAATTTTTAGCAAGAACAAGAAGCTTAATAACAACAGGTAAAAGAAACCAAATACTGCATTATACTGAGTACTAAGCTAAGTAACCATAATTAATCTTACAAATTCTCCAATATCATAATCACTTGCTTTAGAGTAACAGTATATAAGCCTCATTTTTTTAAATTAAATGCCTGTTTAACAAAGCTAATTGGAACAAATACATTTATGCAAATTTACATCCTAGAATAATAAACAGGAGACATTAGTCAAGGATGGATTAAGAAAGTTCTATTCTTTTTCGTCATCTGAGTGATCAGGTGGCAAAGGACATGCTCTGTGGAAAGAATAGAGAACTTCAATAGTCACCGGAGTATTGACTATTAAAAAAAATAGTTATAAACCTATATAAATCATGAACATTAACAGCGCAATGTGTCTGGTCAAGTGAATAGAAATGAGAGAAAATTATACTCATTAGTTGGCAAACACCTACAAATTCCAAGTACTAGAGCAACAAAATCTTTAACTATTTTGCCTGTTAATTTATCAAATCAGTGTTTCTCCTTTAGGATATGTTGCCATTTTTATTAAGAAGGGAATCTCTATTTCTATCGCATCTTCTTTCAATTAAGTGGATTGATAAAGAGTATAATCCTTCAGCAAGAACTTTGTGATAATAGGGATGCCTGGGTGGCTCAGTCAGTTAAGCTTCTGCCTTCAGCCCAGGTCATGATCCCAGGCTCCTGGGATCGAGTCTCATATCAGTATGGAGCCTGATTCTCCCTCTACCTGCAGCTCCCCCTGCTCGTGGGCTCCCTCCCTCCCTCTCTCTCTCTGACAAATAAATAAATAAATAAAATCTTTTTTAAAAAAATTA